ATTTTTTTTAGAAGCCTGAGGGATGAAACGAGAGTTAAATTCAACAAGAAAAAGAATAAAACAAAGGAGATTTAAGCCACTTTTGCTTGTGGATAAAACATTTTGCACAAAATAATTAACAAAATATTCAAGAGATAACGATTTTGGGTTTTCGTAATAATTAAAAAAAAATGCTTTAAGGATAAAACTGTGGATCACATTAGCGGAGTTAAACATATAAAAACTTAAATCAACCCAAAATGTATTGGCTATACTACAATCACACAAAAAAGGCAGCTGTTTCTTCAACAAGACCACAAGATGGGCAAGTTTCATCATTATCAAGATACTTACAGATAGATGAATTAAACCTGTCACTCATATCTTTTAAGTTGTTGCGCTTGTTATAACGTCGTAGGTCACATGATAACGTCAACATAGCGGATAATATCCGAATCGCATTCATACTTAACGCATTAAGGCTGTGCTTCAGGCTGTACACTCTCATAGCGCTCGGTAAGTAAGTACTTAAAGAAATTAAGTGCTTATAACTTAGAAAGGTTCGAACGCAGCCCGACAACAGCTCGTTTGACATCTCGCGTGGTTCTGTGTGATTTGGACAACTTCAAGTTACGCCCCTTCTTCAAGTTACGCCCCTCTCTTGCAGTCCGCGGACAGACCCTTCTCGAAATTCCTCCCTCCAGAGCAGCGCGGCGCTATTGGCCGCGCATGCGCAGATCAGTGAACCGGGTAGCTCTGTGGACTGCTTCTCCTGTCAAAGAACGACTAAACCTCGAGCCAATAGCCTTCGAGTTTGAGATGTGACGGAGCATAATGTCTGACCAAACAATTAAAATGTTAAATATGCAAGAAAACCTTGTACTTTGGTCATCTGAAAAACTTATTTTGACTTTATTTATTTAATGAGTAGATTTTAATAAAGCCAAATCAGTTTTTTGTAATAAGTGAATACGTTCGTTGACTTAAGACATAACACATAAGACACTCTTTTTCGCCACCTGCTGGCGTATTTATGTAATATGAAGAAATGGTCACTGAACGAATCAGTGAACGAATCTGAACGAATCATTTTGGTGAACGAACTGAAAATGAACGAATCACTTGAAAACTTGCCATCGCTACTGTTTAACCATAGACTGTATAAAAACATGGACGTAGTGTCCGTGACGTCACCCGTAGATTTCCGAAGAGCGTTTTTGAAGCTCAAAAGTAGGCGGAGCGGGCAGGCGCCATCTTGGCACCGCGCGTCACTCCCGGATAATCGAAAATGGGCAAAGAGGCAGGAGCAGGTTGCTGAAGCCACGCCCACCTAGCTCGACGGTGGTGACAGCAGCGGCAATCCACCTGTCACTCAAGTGGACACGCCCTTAATTATGCAGAACTTTACTTAATATTATTTAAACGGATGAGTTATAAAAAAAATTCACCCCCCTCACAGTTGAGCGGTGAACTAATTTTCGTCAGCCGAAATTTCAGTGCATGTCTAATTATTGGCAACATCAGAAATGGATATTATATAATAGACGCTTTTTTGAACAATTTCAGCAATTTAAAAATATTAAAAAGGATTTTTTTACACGGCACCCCTGCTCTCGACAGACGGGGTACCGAAACACTGCTATAATACACTGGAAATGTTAAAGCGGTCATATGATGCTGCTAAAAAGAACTATGTGAGGGCGTGTTAGAACAAGCAGTTTTAGGTAGGTGTGGCTGACTCTTAACTTTTATAAAGAATATCTCTTTGGATCTGAGACTTTAGTCTTTGCAACTTTACAGATCTTCTTTATGCACCAAGAGCTTGTAACACTCCAAAGAGAAAGGAAAAATTGAAATCGCATCATATGACCCCTTTAAAATAAAACACATTACAGCTATAAAAATTAAACATTAAATGTGTAAACACTACTAATTAAAGACATTTTTTCTTACCTTTTCCTCAGCGTAGAGTGGTAGATGACCATTATGTTTCGAATGATGCGCAGAACTCCGACTTTTTCAGTCAAACTTTCAAAATGGAATAAGCGTTATCAAAGACTATTTGGCATTATGAATATGATTTCGACCAAATGTTTACCATTTTTAAATACACAGTCTCGAATGGATGTTTTATTTCCGATAATTTCTTCCCCGGCATCAATGTGGTCAGCAGCAGACTTTGGATGAGAGGAAATTACGTCATCACCATGCTTGCAAATTCAAACTTGTCCTTTCTGTAACAAGCTTTTTTATTTTATTTATTTATTTATTTAATTTTTTTGTGAGGTTGTGAACATTTTTAAGGGTACATCTATTGTAAAATATTATGTATCTATATTTTGTGTCTTGTGATTATTATTAATATTAATATTAAGAACTAGTAGAAGAAGAAGAATTTATTAATTATATTATTGTAATGTTAATAATATAATATAAATTTTATTGACATATTTTTATGTTATTCCTCAATAAAAAAAAATAGCTGAAGTTGATTATATATATATATATATATATATATATATTGTGTGTGTGTGTATTAGTTATTATGCTACCTGATGCTCAACAATTATATGTTATTATAAGTTAATAACCAGTTGTATCATCATAAATTAGCACTTATTAACCATAAGTGGTATGTACCACTAACGTATAATTGATAAATCATAAAGAGCAATTGTATGAACTTTATTTTATTTTACTTTTATTTTACTAACTAGCCTATATAGCCTAAGTAACTGTGCAACTACAGTACATTTCAACAAACAAAGAAAGATACAAGGGACTACAGTCGGAAGCAGGAAATGGGAACAAACTAAAAGTCAACATAATACCACAGTGTGAAGCTGAAAATGCACAGTATTTGTTACATGTAGCTAACATGTGATCCACACGTTAAAACCTATTATAACACATGGAAACATTTTCCACATGTGATCCACATGTGCTCTTATGTTGCAACATGTGGTGACATGTTGTCTTCATGTGATCACATGTGAAAAATATATGGACACAAGTGATCACATGTGGGAAAAAAATATGGACACATGTGATAACGTGGAAAATATATGGACACATGTGATCACATGTGAAGAACATGTGAAATTCATGTGGTTTTTCTGTAAGGGATGTTATCTTTTTAAGTCATTGAAGAAGGCAAATTGTCATGACATTTCTTTATCAGGTCTATTAGGGAAGACAGCCAGTAATTATACAGGTACATCTCAAAAACATTTGAATATCATGAAAAAGGTCAATATTTTTTGTCACTCATTTTGCCTGACAATCCTCTCAAGGCTGCGGTTATCCCTTTTGCTGGTGCACCTTTTCCTACCACACTTTTTCCTTCCACTCAACTTTCTATGAATATGCTTGGATACAGCACTCTGTGAACAATCAGCTTCTTTAGCAATGAACTTTTGTGGCTTACCCTCCTTGTGGAGGGTGTAAATGACAGGAGATCTGTCAAGTCAGCAGTCTTCCCCATGATTGTGTAGCCTACTGACCCAGACTGAGAGACCATTTAAAGGCTCAGGAAACCTTTGCAGGTGTTTTGAGGTAATTAGCTGATTAGGGTGTGACACCATGACTTTCCAATATTGAACTTTTTCACAATATTCTAATTTTCTGAGACACTGAATTTTGGGTTTTCGTTATCTTTAAGCCATACTCATCAAAATTTCAAGAAATAAAGGCTTGAAATATTTCACTCTATGTGTAATGAATCTATATAATATATGGGTTTCACTTTCTGAAATGAGTGACCAAAAATATTGACTTTTTTCATGATTTTCTAATTTTTTTAGATGTACCTGTATATGATGATATAATTAAATTCATTAAATAAAGTAAACGATTATAGTCTTTTTAATTTTATTAATTTATTTTATTTTATTCTTGCCTGTTTTTTTTATCCCATGTAACACCTGATCCACAATCCAGTCCAGTCGGTGGCAGTAACGCACCTATAAGCAGCCAATAAACACCATAAAAGAAGCAGGGGAAGACTTTTTACAAGGGAAGGAATAAAACACAAGTGAAACTAAAGCTGCGCAACTAAACTTCGAACAGTAGCTCTATACTCGGTGAGTTTATTTTTTCAGCATTCACGTGTTTTATGCAAATATTTTCTTTTATTGATGTTATAAACCATTGCAGATGTATCAAGGTTTTTATGTTGTGAATTGGATTTGTTTTCTAGCATTTTCATCGTCTTGTGATCAGATCACAAGTGTGACCATCGAGATTACGGATGGCGACTGGGCCTGAACCAGGAATTGGTAAGAGAGTGTCTGTTTACACCGTTTAGGGTGTACCTTCATTAACGTTACCTTGGGTTACTTTTGTATGAATATTAGACTTTAAGCAGTTATTTTGGCTTATAGTTAAGTTTTGACTAGTTATTGCTTTCCAAGTTGTTATTTGGTATAGGCCTCTACAGTTGTTAGATTTATTAGTGCGGCTCTCATCTTGTTAAAACTGAAATTACTACTGAAACATGAGCCCCAGCTTTTATTGACAACGTCTTGTCTGTGTTTGGGTGACTGTACGTTATGTGGAGAGGGAAAGCGAGAAACAGTTTTCAAGCAGTTAGAGAAAGAAAACAAGCCTTGCATAAATTAAAACAATATAAGCCTTTGATTTTTGTTGTGGATTAGTTAATTGCTTAAGATCAATATCTATAGTATCTGTATCAAAATTTGAAGTATCTATGTAAGATGTATTTTTCATATTAATCAAGAGTTTTTGCTCAAACCAGCAGCGATGAGCAACAGGATTGTATTTTAGGAACGCTGCGACTGCATGTAGGCCTATACTTGAGGGTATGCAACTGCAATGTAATTTGATGCCAAGCTTTTGTTGTGGCAACTTTACATAGGCTATGTGTTCTCGGAAAAGTGAAATTCCTTAATGCAAGCTGTTTTTGCATTTAATATACCTGACTCCAGTAGTTGTAGTCAAAATACAAATATATATTGTGCAATTTAAACTCATCATGATTGGCATTAAGATATCTACAGCAAAATGATGACTTGTTATAATGTTGAAAATATCCTCAAGTTTATTTTGACTTGCCATTACATACGTTTAAGATATTTTTACTTCTATTTTGAGTGACTGACCTATTTTTAATTTAATCATTCAAACTTTATGAAATTCCGTGATATTTTGCATTATACAGTGAATTCCATTTTTATGAAACACTGTAAAAAATGTACCATAGAATTTACAGGATTTTACAGGCAAAAAAGTTGCCAATAAAATCCTGTAAAAAATTGTTAATTGCTGTAAAATGGATTACAGTATAATACTGCAAAGCAAATTACAGTTAATTGCTGTATGTGAAATACAGTAATTTGTAGTACATTCTTCCTTTTTTTTTTTTTTTTTTTTTTTAAGAATATTGTGAAACGGTCTACAGTAAGCAACAAAAGTCTTAAGGCTTGGTAAACAATGCTATATTGCCCAATTTAACTCATTTCAGTGTGTGTGTGTGTGTGGCCACTTTATTGGGACAAAAACCTCCCTACAGCTAAGCATACCCAATAACACTGTATTAATGAGGCATTTTATTTCCACTTTTCAGATTTACTTTTATTTTTTATTATTTTTTTTATTATTGAATCTTTCTGATCTGGTATGTGAAAAGGAGAAGCACGAGTTTGACATAAGCCGGAATTGAACTCTGGTTTCTTTTTAGAGCTGCTTTACAGCAGAATTGAATTCTGTTTGCGTAATTGAAATTATTTTATGTATTATATTAATGCATTTATTATTATTATTATTATTATTATTGTTTAAAACAATTAGTACTGTATAAAGCGCTGTAGAGAGAAAGGTGACGTCATTTGACTTGATCGGAAACATGCCGTAGAGATTAAAGTAGAATTTATGTACCAACGATATTATTTTTAGATACACCGCGATAGTTTGTAGTTTACGTGTGTGTGTGTGTGTGTGTGTATACGTACATATACAAGCATTACATTTATAATTACTAGTTCCCGCCTCCAGTTCACTCATGCATTTGAAGGTGAAACGTCACATGGAGCGAGTTGCGTTCTGGGAAACTGTATACCATGCAGTGTCTTCAGATGTACATCAAATTTCAGCAAATGTAGCAGGTAATCTGGGCATTCCACGCATACAGAAAATGCGCACACTATTCACAGAATGCAGATAGCATACTGCAATATAGTATGGTAGCATGCCATTCCTAACACGGTTTCTGTACTAGTTTCAGTGTACTTGAGTTATTTAGCAGATTCTGGCAAATATAATAGGTCATCCTGGTATTCCATGCATACAGAAAATGTGCGTACTATGCACAGAATACATACTGTATATTGCAGAAATAGAGTAATATGATAGTATGACAGTTCGAACACAGCCCCTCAGAGCAGCTCGGAAGAGAGGGAGCTCTCAGCAGAGCTCATTTGCATTTAAAGGAAAATGCTACAAAACTGCTTGCTCTGAAAAGAGCTGATTTTGACAGGGTAAAAAGGGTGTTTTTTTTTTACACTACCATTGAGAAATTTTAACCAAACTATGTTATAGACTTTTCATTAAGACCCTAAATCATCAACTTGTGGAAAATGAGCATCCTATTACCCCTTTAAGAACGACACTTGTGCATAGATTGGGGGTGGCTACAAAATAGTTATGATGCGATTTTTAGCTTAGATGAACTTAGTCAGTAACTGTAATGATAGTTAAGTTTTTTTTTTTTTTTTTTTCATTGGTAGAATGTAAATCTAAAATGTCAAACCTTTAATCAGCAGGGGAAAAAAAAATCAACCCACGGCAAAATGTAATGATCAACCAGTACCGCATGTAAACCATGTAAAAAAAATAAATAAATAAAAAATACGTTCAACCGGCTAGCACATAACCAGTCATACACCCATGCATTCTGTACATACAAGTGCTCTTATTAACTGAATAGCGTTTTAGTTGTACAGTAGGTGTTGCGGACCCATTTCATCCATTAGCTATTGAACTGGATATTAACTATCGCTATTGTTTAAAATACCCCAGAGCTTGGCATTAATTCACCATGGAGTCCAGAGTTCATCCAGGAGCTTCTCCCATCTGCGGAGCGAACTGCTCTCCTCTATCACCTGTCTTACCTGTGTCTGGGAGGCTTCCCAAAGTTGGAGCGTCTGATCAGAGAACGAGCTATAGAAACGCAACTGCTGTTTGGATCATCTGAGGCCGTTCTGCTGAAGGTGAGGCCTAATTCATCATAACCAGCAATGTCAGCATAAATGAGACGAGTTGTCCAGTTAGCCCTCTGTTTTAAGTTTAATCAAAAAAGGTCATTTCCTGTGTAAGACTGTACAGAATATTTTACGTACACTACCAGTAAAAATTTTTTTGAACAGTAAGGTTTTTTTTTTTTTTTAAGTATTCGCTTCTGCTCACCAAGCCCGCATTTATTTGATCCAAAATACAACAACAGCAATACTATTGTGAAATATTTTTACTATTTAAAATAACTGCTTTCTATTTGAATATATTTAAAAATGAAATTTATTCCTGTGATTTTAAAAGCTAAAATTTCAGCATCATTACTCCAGTCTTCAGTGTCACATGATCCTTCAGAAATCATTCTAATCTGATTTGCTGTTCAAGAAATTTGTTTTTGCTGTACTTTGGATTAAATAAATGCAGGGTTGGTGATCAGAAGACACTTCTTTAAAAAAATCATTCTTACCAGGGCCGCTGCTGGCCAAATGGGTGCCCTAAGCAGAATTGCACTGTTGTGCCCCCTCCCTCAAATATTATGGAAGTTTAAAAAAAAAAACAAAAAAAAAAACACCTACTATAGGGGTCAAAATAGAACTTTTATATATTTTATTAAAGTAAATTTAATTGTAATTAAATTGTATCATTTACAAATTACAATTGTAGCTCTAGACAGTTACCTATGGCTATGATTTTATTAATAGTTGTCTGATTGATTTTACAGTCTCAAGCATTCAGAAATCGCACAAAAGGAAATCAAGCAGTTTTACTACAATGAAACCTTGGTTAATTTTTGTAAGGGTTGTGATAGCCTCTATAATTTCTTCAACAAAAAACATGGACGTGTCATCTATCGCAAAAAGGTGGCCAAAAATTAAAGAATAAGTGGATATTTGAATTAAATGTTTGGTCAATAGGCTATTAAACAAGGATTTGATCGTCCTGTGTAACAGCAGCAATTACCAGGCCTTTTGCGCCCTTTGCAGGCATTTAATATGTAATGTGCAAAAATTTATAATTTTGTATTGCATTATATTTTAAGTGTTATTCAATGAAATGTAGGGACTTAACTGTAATTTAAGTCATTAATTCTATAAGGGAATTAATCATTAATTTTATTTCTAGCTCAGGTTTTGAAAGGACTCGAATCTGAAAATTCTGAGTCAACCTGATTAAAACTGAATTCAAATTTGAATGGTTTACACCTTATCAACGGTCGTCCAGCGAGACGTTAATGTTCATGTATCTTAACCATCTGATTAGGGGTATTTTCCCTGGCCACGGGTCAATATAATTATGATAATTTGTAAGCTCTTAGCAAGTTAACGTGATCTTTGGCAAAGGTAATTCACAAAGCAGATATTTTCTTATCCTTACTGCTTAACTCAATTCACCAGTTCGGCACTGATTTCAGCAGCTGTAAGATTTGTTTGTACTTGCATTTTGCTGAAATCTGAAAAGCGGAGTTGTTCCTCGTGGCTACTGGAGGGGATTCTGTTGATGATTGGCTGTTGATCTAGCGCCGGAATTGGCTTGAGCAGTTCTGCTGAAAAGTCTGTTTGCAAGACGTTAAGTACTTTGAAGATCGCGAAGTTTCAGCTGAAGTGTTTGAGTTCTGGAGTCTCGCGATGCGTTGTTACGGCAGGGGAAGCGCTTGGAGCCCTGTTACCAAAAGGAAAGCCAGAGGTCTTGAGCGAGGAAAAAGCGAGCCATCATCTGTTCAGGCATTGGGTTTTTAAGCAAGCCCGCTTTGGTCCATCCCATATGCGATTGTCCCAATCGGACGCTGTTGCAAGCTTAGCCACGCCCTGTGTGGTTCCTTTTTTTTCATGCACAAGTCACATGCCCCCTTCATGTGGCGTCACGCTGTAGATCCCGTGCTTGCAGGCCTGAGGGCGTGATTAAATTACTGTCCTTTTCCTGTTTGGATATAATAGTTACGTTCATTGGTGGTCACAAGACATCGTGGTTTCTATGTGTTGTGAACGAACCTTCCAGTCCTGATGCAATGAAAGCTTTGTTGTCTCCTGATTGAATTAGTTTAGATCTCATGAGTAGATGAGACAAGACTGACAGGAAATCGCCCCCGAATATTGGATTCATGTGCTGGGATGTTTCCATGGCATATCAGTGTCTTTATATATATTTATATTTATATATATATATATATATAATATTAGAAATCCCTACAGAAACCATATAATTAACCAATATTGACTCATTGTTTTCATATAATGCATTTTAAGTCATTTTAAAGGCTGTTGTTGGCTTAGGTCTGTTTTTATAACCACAAAATATTATCTTAATAGCTACTACTTTGTAAACCATTTTGAAGTAACAAAACCATGGTTAATTTGTGGTTACCATGGCTACAAGAACCACGATTTTTGGTCCTATTCATATTAAAACCATGGCTAATTTTCTTAAGGGAACATGGGAACTCTGAAGGAGAATATTAGATGCGCTGGTGCGTGGTGAAGTAGCCTATTCCACATTAAAACGTTGTTAGTCAACAGCCAAAAAAGTTTCGCATATGATGAATGTACCTCAAAGTGATGCACGGGCTTAATCTTTTAATTTTTTTTTTCATTTTTTTTTATTTTATTTTCTCGGTGCCGGATTGCTGATGTCTTTTCAAGGGTAAAGTTGTCCATCAATTACCGTATTGGCCCGAATATAAGATGACCCTGATTAAAAGATGACCCCCCTTTTCCAGATGTACCTTTTGGAAAGGCTTTTTAAAAACCAAATCTTGTTTTTTCTCAGTAAAACACATTTTGTCTTCATGATCATTTGCGTTCAGCCGCAAACATGAGGTGCGAGCGATCGCGGATGCGGGAATAGCGCGTCACGTGTGCTTAGCCTGCGTTCACCGTAAAATGCCGTATTTTTATTTCGGTACGCTATATGCACGTTAATATTAATATCGAACGAATGTATGGTGTGGGTTTTTTTTTTTTTTTTTTAAAGAATATAAATAGGATAGAGAGTGCTCGAGTTAGAGGGTCAAATAAAGGTGGAACAGATGTGTTTAGTCGTTTCTTGAAGATGGTTAAGGAGTCCGCTGCTCTGATTGAGTTGGGCAGGTCACTCCACCAGGAGGGAACAGTTAATGAAAAAGTCTGTGAACGTGATTTTGTGCCTCTTTGGGATGGCACAAAGCGAAGTTCACTTGCAGAATGCAAGCTTCTAGAGAGCACATAAGTACTGAATTTAGGTAAAGGAGTGCAGAGCCAGTGGTGGTTTTGTAGGCAAACATTAATACCTTGAATTTTATGCGAGCAGCTATTGGTAGCCAGTGCAAATTGATAAACAAAGGTATGATGTGCATTTATCATCAATCATAACTCCAAGGTTTCTGGCTGTTTTTGAAGGAGTTATGGTTTATTTGAGCCAGAGTCTGATCCTGATTCTGGAGTATGAAATATTTCTATAATTTCTTTTTTTTTTTATAATAATAATAATAATAATAATAATAATAATACTACTAAAGAAAATCCCCTAGAATGAATATACAGTGGGTACGGAGACCCCCTTGACCCCCTTAAATTTTTCACTCTTTGTTAAATGGCTGCAATATAACAGAGTGAAAAATTTAAGGGGGTCTGAATACTTTCCGTACCCACTGTGTGTGTATATATATATATATATATATACCCACACACTATATATATTTATATATAACATTATATAAATGTGCGTGCGTGCATGCATGCATGCATGCATGCATAAATGCATAAATACATACAGCCGCTCAAAAGTTTGGGATCAGTAAGTGTGGTTTTTTTTAAATATTTTTTTAATTATTTTTTTTTATTATTATATAAATAAAAAAAAAATTTCTTCTGCTCATCAAGGCTGTATCTATTTTATCAAATACAGAAAAAAAACTTTTTTTTGTGAAATATTACTGCAATTTAAAATAAGTTTTCTATTTTTATATACTTTAAAATATAATTTATTTCTGTGCAGCGCTGAATTTTCAACATTACTCCAGTCTTCAGTGTCGCATGATCCTTCAGAAATTTTTTTTTTTTTTAAGAAATTAATACTTTTATTCAAGAGGGATGTGTTAAATGAATAAAGTCATAGTAAAGACTTCTTAGAAAAGATTTCTATTTTGAACAAATGCTGCTCTTTTTAACTTTGTAGTCATCAAAGAATCAAAGAAAAAAAGTATCATGTTCCAAAAAACAATATGAAGCAGCACAATGGTTTCAACAGTCATAATAAATCGGTATATTAGAATGATTTCTGAAGGATCATGCGACACTGAAGACTGTAGTAATGATGCTGAAAATTTGGCTTTTATCACTGAAATAAATTGTTTTAAAGTCTATTAAAATGGGAAACCAATATTAGAAATTGCAATACGATTTTACAATATTACAAGTTTTTTTTTTCTTCTGTATTTTTAATGGAATAAATACAGCCTTGATGAGCAGAAGAGACTCCCTTAAAAAAACATTAAAAATCGTACTGATCCCAAACTGTGTCCCCCCCCCCCACCTGGACCATCTTGATATGCCACACCTGTGAGGTGGATGGATTCTCTCGGCAAAGGAGAAGTGCTCACTAACACGGATTTAGACAGATTTGTGAACCATATTTGAGAGAAATGGGACTTTTGTGTACATTGAACAAGTGTTGCGTTTATAATTTTGTTCAGTGTGTGTGTGTGTGTGTGTGTGTGTGTGTGTGTGTATCTATCCATCTATCCATCTATCCATCTATCCATCTATCGTGCAAATGTCTCCTCTGCTTGTTTGCAAAAGGAACATGAGCTGTCAATGTCCAAATGCTTAAAATACATTCTGTAAATTCTAATGTTTCTATGTAAAATTTTAAAATGTTTCTTTTGCATTTTCTTATAGTTTACTTTATAGTATTTCCCAGGTAAAAGCCAGGCTCTTTTCCAGTCTATATCAACCAAGGAACTCCAGTAGAACTTTCCACTTGGAGACATTTTCC